ATAACAGAAAATGAACTAAAAATCTCGGAAGGGTTTGAGACACTTTAAGTGTTGGAAGGTAGATTAGCGAGTGTGCCTGCGTGTTCGTTTATTCCAGAGTTTAGTGTACAGAACTTGTAGATTAGAAACGACTGGCGCATTTCCCGCTCATGATGTGAGCGGAAACCGGATTCCAGTACCGTTTCTTTATTATTGTCGAAAGAATGACCAGGTATTGTTAGATGTTTCGATAGAGGCAGATTTGGAAGGGTTTTGACGTGCGACTTATGATTATTAAATCAAGTTCTGAACGGTGTTTCTGTATGACCAATATGTTGTAGATTACAGATATCGCATTCGAGCAGGTATACTACGTTGGAACTGTCACAATTTAGATTGCCCCTGATTGTTAACTGAAAGCCAGTGGATGAACTGGTGACAGTTTGCGTAGTTACCATGTGCGCACACACCTTGCACCGCGACTTCCCACAAGGAGCGCAACCATTTTGTTTACGGGCAGCGAGCTTTGACGATGAAAGAATATCACGGAGGTTACGTGCACGTCTGTACACGACTCTCGGTGGCTCTGCGAATACATTTTTAAGGCGCTTGCTTTGAGTAAATATGTTATGGTGTCGCTTCAGAGAGAGAGATAAAGATGCAAGGAAAGGCAGGGAGGTTAACCAGACGCACATCCGGTTTGCTACTCTGCACTGGGGAGGGGATAAAGGGGAGAAAAGAGGTTATCACGATGGCGTTTGGAGCTGACGTTGAATGGGTGAGCACAAGGTTAACCTGGGATGTACACAACGCCTTGGGGTCAGCGTTGAGCTGGTCAATTCGGTTTAGTTTGCCAGTGCGTTTTATGGCGTCATCAATTATTCCCCGTGGATATTTACGTTGAATGAGCGAACGTTTCAGATCCTGGCAATTCGAAAGGAAATGTTCGTGGTTGGAGCATGTTCTTTTAAACCTATGAGCTTAGCTGTACGGTATCCCTGTTTTGCAATGTCGGACGTGACTGCTATGGAAATGGAGGAGTTGATGCCTATCAGTCGGTTTGCGAAAGAGATTTGTGGAGAGCCGTCCTTCGCTAGCTGTGATGGTAACGTCAAGAAAGTTTATCGTTGTTGATGAATAACTATGGGTGAAAGTGATGGCGGGGTGGGCATTGTTGAAATTCTTAATGAAACTTAAAACACTTGCTTTGCCATGTGGCCAAATCATGAAGATGTCATCGATGAAGCGTTTGTAGAAGCATGGCTTCAAAGGTGAATTCTCTATGAAGTTAGCTTCTAACAGGCCCATAAAGAAATTTGCGTAAATAGGGCCTACTCTAGTGCCCATAGACGTCCCGTTTGTTTGAACGTAGTGCAAGTTATTGAATTGGAAGTTGTTTAGTTCTAAGATGAGCTTCATGAGAGTACCAATGGTTTCACCATCAACTGGCTTGTCAAAACAACAATCATCGTAAGCCTTGATGAGAGCACAAATGCCATCGTTGTGTGGAATGTTTGTGTAAAAGGACGAGACGTCAAGTGTTACCACAAAGCTATCGTCGGGAACACATATGTCTAAAATGTCTTTCAAGAAGTGATTTGTGTCCTTTATAAATGACGAAAAAGTAGGTGGGATCCTGTTTATGCGGCTATCGACAAACCTGGATAGGTATTCAGTTACTGTTCCTATGCCAGAGATGATAGGGCGTCCGGGGTTATTTACTTTATGTATCTTGGGCAGAAGATAAAATCTACCTGCATTAGGGCCGAGTGGAACGAGTTACCGGGCTATCGTTTTATTGACCTTTTCATTTTTTACAAGTTCTGTGAGTGCGTCCTGCAATTCGACCTTGTAGTGGTTTTTAGGATTGGTAGGGAGTGGTCTGTAGAAGTTTCCATCTGAGAGCTACCTCTCAGCTTCACTTATATAGTCACATTGATTAAGAATGAAAATAGCGCCACCTTTGTCTGCCGGCTTGATTATGATGTCGGGGTTATTTGCTAGCTCTTCGAGTGGCCTTTTTTTCTTTTGTTTATACGTTATGTCGATGGGGAGCAAGAGTTTTGTAAGAATCTATGACATCTTGTTGTACAGCCTTAATATATAGGTCTAAGCACCTATCACGTTGCAGTGGTGGGGTCCAGTGTCTCTGCTGAGGGAGTGCGATATCTGTAATCTACAATATATAGGTCATACAGAAACACCGTTTAGAACTCGATTTAGTAATCATAAGTCGCACGTCAAAACCCTTCCAAATCTGCCTCTATCGAAACATCTAGCAATACCTGGTCATTCTTTCGACAATATTAAAGAAACGGTACTGGAATCCGGTTTCCGCTCACATCATGAGCGGGAAATGCGTGAGGCGTTTCTAATCTACAAGGTCTGTACACTAAACTCTGGAATAAATGAACACGCAGGCACACTCGCTAATCTACCTTCCACCACTTAAGGTGTCTCATGCTTTTCCGAGATTTCTAGTTCATTTTCTGTTATTTTACTTCTTATTTTTGTTTTCGGCAGAACCATCCTTGTTCCCTGCTTAACAAACTCACTTTACCTGGTTATCTTTAGTATGTATACCGCTCGTTCATGCGCTTCAATCTGCACGCATGGTTATCATAATGCTTTCCACACCATGCGCCATATTTATATTTAAAATCTTTTTCACTCGTAGGGATGTCGCTATAACGATAAGAGGTGACCGCTGTGTCCATGTTACTTTACGCATTGCATCTTCACACTAAATGTATTTTGCTTTTTTGTATAATCACGTCGAATCACTTGCGATTGCTATTGCGCATGTCCCAAAACATTTTAGAAATGTATATAATGGCTACGAAAGCTGCATTACATGTCACACTGACGAAGGCTGGCCCACCAGCCGAAACGTATGTGATTAATAAAAGTGTTTTCTCGTACGTCGTTCTTTCTGGCTTCTCGCTTCTCGCTTCCGCTATATATATATATATATATATATATATATATATATATATATATATATATATATATATATATATCCACTTGAGCATTACTATTTAAGTGTTGCCAGTGGTAATGAAGCGAAATTACTAAGACGTCAAACTGCATTGTAGCAAAATACGTAACAGTTAAAGAAAAATTTAATAGTGAGAATAGCTTAGCGGCTCAGCGGGCCGGTGGACCCAGCCGAGGAGCGGAGGGGGCAACGGAGCTCAAGACAAAAGGAAAAGTAATAGGCGAGTGATGCCCCACTTGTTTCAAGAGAGTCGACAGGAGAGTGAAGGGGAGTAAAATTACTGTGCATGCTACCTTTACTCTAAAGGGAAGCGAATCGCTGTGCTACCTGTTGAGCAAAGTTGAAGTTGCTGTCAATCGAGGGGAGGCTTTGCTTGGAAAACTTTCGCACGCTTTGCTGAGGAGACGGAGTCATCGGACGAGCGGCCCGTTCCATAAAAACGCTGGCTGCGCAGCAAGCTGAGCATGCGCATTATTACATCTTCCCTCGTTCGCTGGGCCCACTGGCCCGTGGAGCCGCTTAGCTATTGCTCCCTAACGTTGGTCCTCCTTTCGAGGAACCTTTCAGTTGGCTTTGTGATAATGGAAATATAATGATTACATTGAAGTATGACAATTTTAACCCTAAGCCTGCGGTTCTCGGCGAGATGTTTAGGCGGTCAATTCATTTGTCAAACACGCATGATCTCAATACCCGTATTATTTGACGCCTGCTGTTGCGAATGCTGACATGGGCCTAAGGCACAGGCTGATCGATGGTACTTCCATTAAAAGGATATAGACATGCGGAGAACGTCAGTGGTCTGAAGAAACACAATATCTGGAATGGTTTACGTTGGCTATCGAAAGGCGCCTGCGGACACGGTCATCTTATTGTCGGATGATCTGTTTGTAGTCATTTAAACATGTCATAAACATTTTAGATATCCATTTTCATACCAACCGAGCCAAGCTTGGTTTACCTCCCTGCCTTTCCTCTCTATTTCTCTCTCTCTCTCTCTCTCTCTCTCTCTCTCTCTCTCTCTCATTTTCATACTTCCATGTAATTCTCGCGTAAACTTTCAAGAATTGGAGCTGCCTGGCGTAGTGATTTCTTGAACACTCTTTTTCTCCACTTGTCTGCATCGTTAATGCCGACGCGCTAATAATAGCAAGGCGAGGCTTGCATGAGATGTCTGACGTTCGGGACCGTGCTTGTCTCACGTAAGCATTCGCAGCAACAAAAGTTGACCCTAAGAAATTCGCCGCGAGACCACATGCCAAATAGCGCCGTGAGACGACCAGCCACCCGGACCATGAATAAACACTCATGTATACACGCAAAAGTTTCGTTGTTTGCCGGATCACTCCAGCTGCTACGCAACATTTCTTTGTTAGGGATGAGTGTACTTGCTGTAAACCGTACGAGTCTCAAATATCCAAAATGAAGCTTTCATTTTGCTTCGCGTTTCCTCGCTTTTGTTTCGAATGCTGCTTGCGATTTGGCTGAAAGCAGTGTTTTTTTTTACTTGTTGAAATTATCTCAAATACTTCATTCAATATACGATGAGTTTGCTAACGTTGACTTCTACAGCATTACGTTGTTCCCACGTTCTCGAGTACTTCCGAAAACGCTTCCTCTCAAAAAACACACGTATGTTTGTTCGCAATCCGGGGAATACAATTTCGTTTTCTAAAAGAGTTTCGATATGCGTTATGATCAACTATTTGAGAAATGGAAGCTCACTTGGCAACTGTCTGCAGCTTCCCACAAATGGGAACGCTCTCTGAATTTTTCATTCTTTTTATAGAAGAAAACAATTTGGAAAGTGTTTGTTGCGCGGAACAACGTAGGACGCGACACCTATCGGAGATACGACTGCTAAAATGTCTTGATGAAAGCCTGAAAGACCCGCTTGAGTATGTCTTACTCTATTACTTGAGTATGTCTAACTTGAGTATGTGTTACTCTGCTGCCGATAACGGGGACTTCCCGCACTGGTTCCCCATCGCAGAGCTCCTTTTCTAATATATAGGCGACATAATGGCATGAAGAAAAACATTGACGTTTATTTCTTAGTTCAAATTTTTATACAAAAGTAAGGCACGTCGGTGTTGCTCTAGCTCCAAAGGCAAACACGAGTGTATTGCTCGATGGGCCTACATTACACATGACAATAAAATATGTAAAAAACATCTCAGAGTAACATAATTATACGCGACAGTAGGACATAAACGCAACGAATAGACATATACGAAAATACTGCATATATTTCTGAAAGGCACACTCATGTACAAATAAAAGATGAACGGGATCCTTGAAATACACAACAATACAACGATTTTAGAAATAATTCGCAGCTTGACTTGGGCAGTAAACTTCGTCGTATTGAAACACAATGTCAAATTCAACTGCACTTCTCGAGTTATCCGACTTTATCTTTCACGGCTTGAAGATTGTCATTAAGATTCCACTTGTTCAAGAGGCTTGGTATAAAAATCCTGCCACACATATACAATACAGTGCTGGAGCCTTATGGTATCGATTAGTTCTATCTTTATATCGGTCTACCGTGTGTATATGTGAATGTGTGTGCCTTATTGAGCAATGACGTTAACACTGACGGCACAATACATACACGAACAAATACGTCGCATGCAATACAAAAATATTTACAAGTGTTTCTTCATCTGTCATTGGACGCGCAAAAAGTATTTGCTAACGCTGTAGCATAACAGAATGAAGGCACTTTTTGGCACTGTCACGGACTTCGCTTCTTTCCGAGGAGAAAAGAGCTCGAAATTCAAGTCTATGGGAAAAAGAGATGTTATACGAACTCATAATTTCAGTAATGACGCTACATTATCACACGTGCCGCATGTCGTGCAAAAACAACACCTCCACTTCCGCGCACTCATAAATGCGGTCACACACGACCACTTTCACACCTTACGCTCTTAATCAGGTCCTGGGGAAATGCCGGCCTTATTCAGGAAACCGGACGAAAAATGTCAAGTTTCCTAACTACATCCAGCACTTTAAGCGAGACCTCTTTAAGACCGTATACAACTGCCATTAAAGCATATGCTACATACTTTTTCAAAGGCTAGAAGTTTCATGCAGGCTCTTTTCCGACAAGTGTTTGAGATCCTTTCTTTTTGTTCAATCTTCCACCGAATGAGCCTTCGAAACTTGGCCTATATAGTGAGATATGCCACGAATATTTGCTTTTGAGACTAAAAGAAAAAAGGCGCGTTTTCTGACCTCGTGAACACAATTACTTGTGAGGTGAGGATTACGAGATATCGGAAACATATTGCTGCTTTAAACCGTATTTTAACTTAGCACTGCTGTCGGGTTTACGTGATTCGCGATGCGTGAACAGCGCGTTCAGCCTAACATGCAGAGTCCACATCCATTTTGACACTTAATACCATGTCTCTTCCGTGATTGCTAACGTGATCCTCCAACACACTGCTTCATGTGGTACACTAAGTAAAATTAAGTGCTATACATTTTAGAGAACATGACAGGAATGTGGCGCTACAGTCGCGATCACATTCTATACTTCGTTTCAATGGTCTCTCAATCAACACAAACGACACAGACACGCAATGACCAGAAAATGCACGTGGGCCCGCCTTATTGTCCAATACATATATTTAACCACACATGCCACAGCATAATTCAAAACTGTACAAGTCTGTTGAAAGTATACACTTGGATGCTGTAAGAACACTTAAATATGCGAAAAGTGATATTGGAAAGTAGCATTTCTCCCCGCTCCAGTGAAGACATTAATTATAAACTCGTGCTCATTAAGGCAAGGTTGGTTACCTTCTAGAGAGGAATGTGTTTGTAAGGCTGAAAATAACTTGATGTGCGTGTAATTAATTGGCTATACACGTAGAAGAAGATTAAATTGCGCTACTTTTCTAGGTATTGGCCAAATTAGATGGCACTTGATTTCCGAAGCGAACAAAGTCAGTTGATTGGGCTTTTCGCGACCCTACCTTGAATTTGGACAATAAAGACCACAACACGCTTAACAAGAACATTCTTCGGTGATCACTCGTTCTAGTTTCATGAAAACAAGCAAACGTGTTTGTTTGTTTTTCTTGTTTTGAAGCACATCAGTCTTGTTTACAAAGAACGTGCCTGTTACTGAGCGTGCAGTTCATTGCAAACATTCATAGTGCAATGAAAAAAAAAAGGGGGGGGGGGGGGGAGGCGTTGCATTAAGCGGGTCAACTTGAAAGTCTCAAGCACTGGCTCATTCAAATCTGAAGTGCACTTCATGTGTACATCGATGGAGTTACTAAGCAATAATCATTTAGAATATGGCATTGGGGAGCGACTTCTGTTTGCGCAGAACTTTTATGTATGTTTGCAAAATCAGAGCCAGTCTCACTCGCTGGTAAAAAGAAATGACACAAGAGAGTATTCTAGGTCGACTACCTCTAGCATGACACAGACGAAAAGCCACACTGAAAAGCCAGACTGTAAAAAAGCCGGACTGTTAGCTTATAATGTCTTACAAGAACTTATCTATATACAATAGACAATACGGCACGTAAGAAATAAAGTAGTCTGGTAGCTACTAACAAAGACAGTGCACTTAGTACAGCCGGTTACTAGCAGGAATAATTGGTTGCATAATAACCCACACACAACAACTCCAGTCTTAACGTACACAAAAAACTGTCACATCCGCGAACTCGTGTCCTCTTTCGTGTTTTTATCATAGTTAACCGGCGTACTTCACTGTATTCCATGACACTTTATATGGAATAGCGCTTAGGCACTTCGAAGTATGCGTAACTCTTGTCCCCGCTTTTGCCGCAAACGCCGTAAGCCAGTGACATGGAACTGGCTGACCAACACACCATCCCAGCCAGAACGTCGTCACACCTTACTGCGAACTGTCAACGTAGTTTCTTTTACTGCAGACAGTCGCAACTTACTTCCTAGCGTCAGCATAGTCTTCTGCTACAGTAGGTCACTGTGCGCGTGCTGTCACGGGTCTCAAGACTTTGTGGACGAGTCTGCACCGGCTACCCTTGTGCACGGCGCGAACAAAGTGCCCGCATTTATTAAGTGAAGAAGTCTAGCGGTGGCAACGGCGACAGGGAGTTGTCCTTTCCCTTCATCATAAGGTGTGGCATGGCACCCATCTGGTGCAGATCGGCAGTGTCCAGGAGACCATTGGTGCCCATGAGGCCTCCGTTGCCATTGCCGCCCTGCTTCTTGATGCTATCGGGGCTCGAGGAGCAGGCGTAAGGCATGGGCGACGAACACTTTTGGTTGGAGTCGGGTGAAGGCGCACCGCAGGGTCGCTGCCCTATGCCCGTAGCCGCCGAGCTGACGGGTGGCTGAAGCTGCGGCAGGAGCTGGTCTTGCGTCGGAGGCAGCATGGTACTGTAGAACGAGCTCGGATTGGCCGCCATGCCACCCATGGATCCCGGTGGTGGTCCCGCGGTTGAGAAAGTGGCGGCGCCGTAACCCTGCCCTGGCGAACCTTGCATAGGTGAGGATGTCTGGAAGCCGAAGTCGTAAGGGTTTCCCGTGCTAAAGCCCCATGAATCTAAGGGAGCGTTCAGTGGAGGAAGCGTCGGCGACGCGGTGGCGTACGGGTGGCCGCCCTTCTGCATGCTCTGTGCAGCCGCTTGTTTCGTCGTTTTTCCAGAGGTAAAATAGAATGCAAAGAAACGTGGGAAACCAACGTTAAATTCTGTATTTAATTGATCAATAAAATATGCACCTACTAATGTCACCTTCATAGATCGAGAAAGGAAGTCGTCCTAAAACATAGCCATGACCAAATAAAAGCGTATCTCAGCAGGACTGGCAAACTTACGTGCAAGAAAACTAAATTTATAGAAGATGATAGCCAACAATCAAGGAAATTCATGCAAGAACACCACAAGTAACAAAGGCGTAAGTTGAAACAGGTATGGAAGTTTTCATATCTTCGCTTTTTAGGTGACGTTTATAGATCGAACGATGAGAAGAGGAGGAGAGAAATAGGCGGAAAGACAAGGAGGTTAGCCAGTTTTTAGACCGGAGACACCGTAGAATTCTTACCTGCTTGAAGAAAATTTGTCTTGCGAGGTGGTTCTCTTTTCCTCCACTTGGCACGACGGTTTTGAAACCACACCTGGAGCGAAAACAAAAAGAAACGTAGAATGTATCTAAGCACTGCAGTGTGATTGGTAAGCTACTAAAGAAATCAGCAAGGTAGTGCCATCGGCTCTGTCTCAGTAAAGATATTTTCTAACAAGGTCAAAAACAAGCATTTGAAAACTAGTCTTAGAATATTCACTTCTATTCTAAACATTCTTCAAATTTTATTGAACAAATTAGGTACGGAAAAACAGTATTGAGAAGTTTATCCAATGTATTTCAATGACACACTATCATTCGGAAGTCCACAGAATGAACATCCTTGAAGTGAGGAATAAGCAAGTAGCCATCACATTTACTCGTAGTCGTGCATGAATGGTCACGGAGTCAAATGCACGGGTCCTTCTCTTTTATGACAGACAACGTCCAGTAATCGAGGTAGCTACCAATAATTGTGCATGGTTGGCAATGACAAGAGTATCACAAGAGGGCCCGTGCAAGAACGCCGCAACTGAAACATTCATCAATTACATCTCCGAATTTTCCTTGTTCTTACCTGTACTCTGGACTCGCTGAGATTAAGCCTGAGAGCTAGGTCTTCTCTGGCGAAGACGTCTGGGTACGGTGCCCGCTGGAAGGCCCTCTCCAGTTCATCCAGCTGGAATGCCGTGAACGTCGTCCTGTAAGAGTCAACGCGCGAAACGGGGTTACCATTGTCCTCAGTTCCTTGTGGAGCGTAGAGCAAATTTGCCGGTGCATCAGTGTTTCTAGAAAGCAACATGCACAAGCGTTACGAGATTTCGTGTAACTCACTGAAAATCATTAAAATCACAAAATGCGCATATTTCGGTACAATGCACTGATAATAAGAGGAGAGGAAGACAAAAAAATTGGTGAAGCTTCCACTAAACCGCAGAAGCCTTCAAACCGCCAAGCTGGACGACTCCAGAGACACAGAACTCCAGAGACACGCGCTGAAGCCGGTTGTTCGCACCTCTCATATATTTACGGGTGCGTCGCCGTTGGCGTATGCCTTGCATCATTTCTGGGTTTTCTTGAATCCGGCGTTGCCTTTCCCGGTCCATATTATTTTCTCGTCGGGCGTACTTGAGGTCTTCGGCTCACTGTTGTCGCAGCAATTTGTTGGTCTAGCTGCTGCCTGATTCATTTTAAGAGGCGAGTAGTAGGATTTTCCCAATTTCTGTCACACCTACGCGTTTATGATGATGATATTTTTCGATAGGGGGTTCAGGCGCATACCCCTAGGGCTCAACGCCGACTTGCATCAAGCTTATGAATCAAGAACTCCGAAACTCGGGACTGTCGATAGCACACGAATTCCAACGCTTATCCCTTCCTGCTTTGAGCTGCAACGTCGTATACACGAAGACCAACAATCCTCACGTTTTAGAACAAATCATGAAAACTTTATTGAGAAAAATTTTTTTTTCTAAGGTATGGCGCCCATCGGGAATACTTGCCTTCTTAAATGATGTTATAACTGTATCACCCAGCATGGCTCAACGTAGCGCGTAGCACAAACACCTGAGCAATAAAAGACACCAAGCTTGCGGAGGACGCGTACGCTCAGAGCTGCCGACCAGTATATTCTAGGCACTATAACCACACGCATACTAAGCCCGCGTGCTCCAGGCGCGGTCTGGTACTGCCATTCACGGTAGATGTACTTGAGTGTTGGCGTATACTTATGTAAATAAGACGCCTCCAGGCAGAGACGACGAAATCACTACTATCGTTACAGAGGGAAGCTAGACCAATGATGAATGATCGACTGCCCAAATACGCAGCCTTACAACGAATGAACATGCGTCAAGTGGCCAGCCTCCGTGACAGCATCCGTATTTCAATAAAAACCTGCCGTATTTATACGAATGTAACGCGAGCTATTCCCAGTACTTCTTTTATGTGAAGTTCACCCTCTCCAGTTAAAATTAAATATCAAAATATTTTCTTTCTTCCGAAATGCACCCTTCGCGTTACAACCGAGTAACTAAGTTATGAAGCAGATAACGTTAGAATTTATTTTATCGCATAAGATTTTAAATAAAAATGAAATAGAAAACGCTAAATCAACCCTTCACTTAATGAAGCAAAACCTGGAGGCCGGCAGTGTCTCTGGAGTACTCTAGGCTTTTGCCGTGGAATAGGTTGTATTATAGTGCGATGCAGCGTTAGATAACAAGGTTCATCGGTATTTCCCGTTTCTCGAGCCCCACCATAACTGGAAACACAACGAACAATTTATTCTGATAAAGTTTTATCACCATCATTAAGTTCTGTAGGTGTGTTGCCTCTTGGAAGACGTGAGACCGACGTTACGTCTCGCCCAATGATCTCCGAAAGACTACCTCTTTAAAGCAAAAATTGAAAATGACGCCTTCATGCCACATTGGTAAATCCTAACTTAAGTTTACTAAACTCTTGCTCAGACCTTCTGCATCAAGAGAAACAAAGGCATCGGCTCCGCTATGGTGGTCTAGAGGCTGAGGTACTCGGCTGCTGACCCGCAGGTCGCGGGATCGAATCCCTGTTGCGACGGCTGCATTTTCGATAGAGGCGAAAATGCTGTAGGTATGTGTGCTCAGATTTGGGTGCACGTAAAGGAACCCCAGGAGGTTGAAATTTATGGAGCCCTCCACTATGGCGTCTCTCATAATCATATAGCGGTTTTGGGACGTTAAACCCCATATATCAATCAAAGAAAGGCACCATCGCAACCTCAGTGCCCGCGACAGAAGGCCACGACGCCACCAGCTCAAGCGTCGGGTTATAGTCGCTTTGTCTGATTTCAGCCTCTTATGGAAATTAAAAAAAAAAAACACGCGAGGCTGCTGCAAGAAGCCAACTATATTGCTTTCTAGCGGATTGCCGCGTGGATAGCGTAGGCGACGATCGAATTGCCCGCGTCTGCTGAAAGCTTTAATGGTTACCCAACCGAACATCGAATGCGCTTTCGTGTTGTTCGTTTCTTCTACTGAGTGAACACTTTTCGCGCCTCACAAACTTGAAATCGACTGCTTCACACAACGAAACCACGTTACATCATCTTGTTGAGAAGAGGCATTCGCTTTCTGCCTCCCACTCGTCTTTTTCTTCGCGTGTCTCAATCTTGAAGGGGCGAGAAAGATTGCTCCTAGAGCCTGACTCACTGTATTGGTTTTGTTAACTCCCACTTCGCCGCCGATACGTTTTAGTCCTACTCCCAAAAGTTGGTCCACGAGCCAAGTTACACTTTTCACATACTTTGTACTTTCTCTTTGTTAACTGCACTTTGTTGAATTTTGTTCTTATCGCGCAGTAACTTCGCGAAGACTTCAGTACATCCACAAATTGCATTGCACCATTGTGAAGGGAGACGCTGGCATTGAACTGTCATTTACGGCAATACAGCTGCAACTATATCCTAGCGTGTACAGCTACAGCAGTACGCATTGAAAAAGAGGCCCGTCGATGCAAGTTCTTTGACGTCAAGGACTCTTCGCTAGCGAGAAATGAAACCGGCACTGAACGAGCTCACCCTTCAGGAATGGCCGAGCTGCACGATTCTCAGATATCGAGCATGAGTCCACATACCGAAAATTTGGCTGGCGTCTTTCGTTTTGTATGCTAAACTTGGGATTGGCCACACTGTATGCTAAGGTATTGGCCACATTGTATACTATAAAAGAAAACGCGCGAAAGGAAATAAATAAACAGAACGAAACGCTATGTAACGTAACTAAAAAAAGATTATTACCTTGTCTTCTTCTTTTTTACAGTCTTGTCGGCATCTGAGGACGAGGATTTTTCGGAGGATTTGCTCTTCTGTGCTTCTGCAACAGAATGTGTGGTGTGTTAGGGTAGCAGTATAAGGTAATTGACTTTAGAAATATTAGACCGCAAGCCTTAGATGTCATAGCGTGCGCAAGCTTGCTTGTTGAATTACGCATGATTACCACGTATCTGAGTGATTTTCAATGTCGTCATAACTGAGACTATTTTTTCACGCCGCACAAATATCAGCTGTCTATTCCGCGATCCTTCAAATAAAGCTGAAGACATGAAGCCTTTCTGGCATTAACTTGAGAGGGCTTCGCACGTGACAGCTTTTTTTTTTTTATTTACAGCAAGCACCTCACATACTATGAGCTTTTGAATTGCGGTAATTTAAGAGTGAAAGGACGATTATCTCACAGCTATAACCAAACACAGAGTTTTATTATCGCAGTAGCATGTCGTTGTTGCTCTAGAAGAAAAATTCGAGCATCTTTAAGCTTCGCCTTTCAGATTTGAACGTGAAAGCGATATCCTGTTTCTATGGTGCGTGCTTGAACCACTTAGTCCATACTTCTTATTTTATGATGTTACTCGAGAAGATTAAAAGGTGGATTACTACAATGTAATTGATAAAACTCAAAGTGGATTGCGTCAGTGAAACTTCCGCATATGGCTGCATTCTGTGTAAAGCTTAACATGCTCTAAATTAAGAGTGATTATGAGTAGGGAAATCTTTTCGAACTAGTGGCTGGCCGGCTTTAAACCATGAGTTCGTCATGATAATCACATGTTATGACGCAGGCTGGCAATGTACGCTTATACGACACAATGTTACTCTGATATTACACGTTGTATGGTGAAGCCTGCATACATAACGGGTGTGTTTGTATACAAGGCATCAAAGTTAATTTCACTGCATTTTCAACCAGAAGTTACCTTCCCTGGATATCCAAACATGCGCGTGGCTGTGTGGTAGAACACTTGCTTCCCACAAAAATGGCCCGGGTTCAATCCTCCCTCGGACCCAGAGTCTTTGTTTTTATTTTGTTTGTATCTTGCTTGATTTTTAAATCCCGCACGTGATGATAATTTTTCGCTCACAACCAACGTCGCCGACGGCGACACCAACATCGGCACCGGAATTTCTGAAAAACAAGGCCCTTAGCGCTATCGCGTTAAAATGTTGACAAATTTTGAATCAGTGTTTCGTCTGTTTTGTTTGGTCTTTTTTTTTTCGGAAAAAGGTATGTTATCCAGACAAAGCACACCTTCTTTCCTGGGGGCTGAAGCCGGCAAACTGCCGTCGGCGCCACCGAGACATCCCATTGGCTGCGCAGAAGCCATGCTTGGCAGTGGACCCGACAGCTCACGAGTTCGCATCCCGACGCACGGTGCCATAGACATGAGGCCCGGCAGGAGGCCGCTCATGCTGGTTGCCATTGGGTCCAGTGTGGACACACTTGTGGCGGGAACGTAGTCCACGATTCCTTGGTTGCACAGCTGGAGATGAATGCATGCAAGAGGGAAGTGGTGATAAGGGCTCGAGCAAATTTCGTTTAACTCCAATCTGTCGGGTATTCACTGAACACAGCACTTTCCGGGAGGGGGGCAGGGGATCTTCCTTGAAATGAAAAATAAACATATTTGAATTGAATTGAATTGAAACTCTCTACGCTGTCGAGACCTAGGCTAGTCGTTAAGACGCTCGCCTTAACAAGGCGGTGGGCCTGAGTTCCAAACCCATTGCCATCTACATGATTCAGCCTACTTTTCAATGTTCCTTTTTTCTAAGGAGATTGTCCCACCTGAAAAGAAGGTGGACGTTCAGAAAGCACGAAAACCCGCATTTAATACAACAATAAGATTCTACCGTGGGATTTGCGAGTAATAAGTGAGCGTAGTTTGCAGGACACTCAATGTTTGCGTCCCTCTCTGAAACCTTGTTGCCCGGCGGCATCGGCACGTCGTCTTTCATCTTTCAGACGTCAGCCAGCGGGCTAAAGCGTCCCAGTCGAAGGCGCCTCCCACGATCACTGAACGAATGTTTAGAACGGAATTTTCGCGAAGTCAGAATTTTCGTGCCATGTAGAATCAGCTTGACTTGTTCTATAGCGAGGTCTTTTGTTTCCCCAGAACGAAATATTTTAACGAAACCGTCTTATAAATTGTTGCCTTTTATTTGTTTTATTCCTGATACAAAACATTCATCGGGTTCAGATTCATTCACACTCCGCAAACTCTCGCGTTTAGCCCAGCGAATAAGGCACTCTCTTTCGGTGCGAAAAGTTCAAGGTTCGAAGCCCAACGCTAAAGGAATGATTTGGGGGGGGGGGGGGGGGGCATTTTGTTGTACTGGATTGAGGGTTAGACGGATCAATACCGTCTTCTCGTTCAGTCGTCAAAGAAACGGTTGCGCCTTTGAACAATCACGTATTATTCGATTCTGTTTAAATATAGCCCCCACGACACTGCTCCCCCAGAGTGATGGTTACCACTGGTATGAACAAAATTACGCAATAAAACGACAAAGCTTACCTTAGTTCCCTCCGCGTCAGAAATGTGAGTAATAATGAGCACACTTTACTTAACGAAGTAAACCTCTCCATATATCCTATCTTGGTGTTTCCGTTTAGTAGCAAACCTCTCCATACCTCCTGTCTTGGTGTTTCCGTTTAGTAGTGCCTAGTCGCTTATCGTGTCTTTGAATAGGAGCCTTCCGAACTAACAGTTCACCCATCATGCGTTTGGTTCTCCGTGAAAAGTGCTCGAAAACGTTCAAGACATTACGACTCACAATAAGGCTGAACTTTTTTTTTTACCTTGCTCAATATATCGCGTGCCTTTTAAGCTGCTGCAACGAGACGATCCGCCGCCAGATCAGCGCACTGCACCAGGTGCGACAGGTAGTTTGCTTCCCAACAATACGGACCGTGGGAAAATGTTTTGGCCCTTTCTGACAGTTGAGGAACTCAAAATATGCGTACTAAGTTCGTCGCTACAAGGTGTGACGTCAGACAAAAGTTGAGCCTTATCATGTGTGATAAGGGTCCCAACTTTTTTGAGTACTTTTCGACCAGACTTGCTGAGAAGCTAGCGTATCAGGGAAACTTTTTGTTCGGAATATTCTTATACACGCCGTATAGGGACATCGTTGCAAGACGTCACATCAGACAAAAGTTGAGCCTTATCGTGGGTGATAAGGACCTAAACTTTTTCGAGTGTTTTTTCACATGTCTTGCGGTGAAGCAAACGCAACAGGGGAAGCTTTAGCGAAGAAGGCCCTCATACCCACAGCATATGACGCATGGTTGCAAGACGTGACTTCAGACCAAAGTTGAGCCTTATCGTGTCTGATAAGAGCCTCAAATTTTCCGAGCACTTTTCGGCATGTATTGCGGTGAAGCAAACTAACCAGGGAAAGTTTTATCGAGTATGGACACTATTTAAATGCGTGGTAACAGACCAAACGGGCGCACCGAACTAGTGACACCAAGAGGAAACGTATTGAGAGGTATGCTTGATTAGTAATACTCTGCTGATTATCTCACACAATCGTTAGACTGAATACTATTAACGGGAAGTTTGCTGCTTCACTACGCAGTCGTGCTTATTATAGCAGAAGCACAAAGCACAGTTTATATGTAGTTTTGATGCTGCTATATATAATGCGAGAAGAGTAATATTAACTTTTGAAAACGCTTAAGATTTTCTGTTCCATCCTACATATATATAAGATGATTGTGGGCGCTGCTATTATAAAGGTAAGCCTGTAGCTTTAACAAGTGTTAAATTCTTCTATTTGCAATGGTTACTGGTATTTTTCTGAAACTTAAAGTGGATGCATTTTTCCCAACAAATTGATCCTGCAGCCTTTCCAAATCTTTCTATAGCTTCGAATCATGCAAGCTATTTTGTTAAAATTGATTGTGGGTGGATTTATGGTCAGGAGGGCAAGCCTTTAGAACTCTTCTTTTTGTTTTTTTATGGGTTTCAACTTTGCATTTTATTTTATTGAGACTGCCGGGGCGGGTTGGGGGGTTGGGTCTTGCATCCTCTCATAATAAAATTGATTGTGGAGACATTTTTTTCAGAAAGGTAAGCCTTGGAAGACCCGCTATATTTTGGAATTTCTGAAACTTTCCACGTATTATAATATAATTTATCCGCTTTGCAATTTTTGTATATTATCATATGCATTCGTTACACAGCGCAAAAGAAGGTAAAATCTCTCCTTTTACTGCCCAGCTGCGCTGTTTATACTCAGCAACTAGCATGCGTAGGTTTCAGTACCACTACATATCAACATAACAGATTAATAACGATGTTTCAAAATCAGTAAGCATTTTTATATTTGGTAAATGAGAAAATTGTCTCTGTCCGTCATATCCCTCTGTAAAGTAAGATGAACTTCTGTGAAAAAAATATATAAAATACATTTCTCGTGTACTTAAGTAGGAGTGTTCCGGACTGTAACTTCCCCTGATGCGTTTGCTTCTCCGCAATATATGTCCAAAAACAGTCGAAAAAGTTCAGGCCCTTATCACCTATGATAAGCCTCAACTTTTGTCTGACGTCACACATTGCAGCGGTGAGCCTACAACGCCTATGGGTCAGCAACCGCTCGAAACTTTTTCCCGTGATCTTCGCTGTTGTGAAGTTATCTTGCTGTCGCGACAAGGGCACAGGATGACGCAGCTGCTGTTAATACCAGGCTCTCTCTTTTTTTACGCCAGAGCCGTTCTGGCGGTGTATCACACGCTGCAGCCACTCATACCGAACGCTATATCCGGTGTGACGTCACACAAAAGTTGAGCCTTATCATGGGTGATAAGGGCCTCAACTTTTTCTAGTGCTTTTGGACATGTCTTGCTGGGAGGCTGGCGCATCAGGGGAACTTTTTTTTCTTCGGAATGCTCTGATACTCACGGTATATAGGTACATCATTGTAGGACGGGACGTCAGACAATAGTTGAGCTTTATCATAGGCGATAAAAGCCTCAACATTTTCTAGCACTTTTCTACATGTTTCGCTGGGAAGTTCGCGGATCAGGGAAACTTTTTTTTTTGTTTTGAAGGATTTTATACCCACACTATAATTACGGCCGTGGTCACGTATGTGTAGAGCGCGCAAGCAGCCGGTCATTGCTCTGTGAGGCGAAACCTTGAGGCAGTATTGGGCCTTGATTTGGTCAGCCTCACAACTAGGACACGAATGCTCCTGACACACCAGGTAAGAGCCCGAAACTGTCTCAAGGTTTCGCACCGCGGAGCAAAAACTGGCTGCTCGCGAGCTCTACACAGGCGTGGCCGCGCCTGTACATCCTTGGAAAATTTGACGTCAAACAAAAGGTGAGCCTTATCATGGGCGATGAGGGCCTCAACTTTTTTCAAGTGCTTTTTTACATGCCTTGCTCGGAAGCTAACGCATCAGGGGAACTTTTACCGAGGAGGGCTCTTATAACCACAGTATATAAACGGACTTTTTAGCTCAGAAGGTTCCCATTCAAATACATGAGAACCATCCAAGCAGGCGCACTCTGAACGTCAAGGATGGAGCTATGAAGAGGTTTGCTTCATTAAACGAAGTGTTCCGATTATCAGAACTTAGTTACGCCGAAGACGGTAAGGTAACCATTGTCGTTTTACTGAGTCATTTTGTTTTTATCAAGAGCAACTAGAACACCTCGGAAGTAGTGCCAATGTGGCTACATATATAACCAGAATTGACTGACACGGAGGTCTTAAAACGCACAAGCATTTCTACCCGATTGAATCAAAAATATGTCTGTTCATCCGTTCATCTCTCAATCACGTAGGACAAAATTGCTGTAAGAAATGGTTCAAGGTAGTGGTGGGTTTCGAACCGCTGACCTTGTGCTCCGAAGGTGAGTGCCCTTCCAAGTTCACTAAACGCCAGCGCTTGCGCAGTGCGAATGAATCTGAACCCTATGAATTGCTTGTGCCAGCCATAAAAGCAAAAAAAAAAAATTAACATTTTTCGGAAGGCTTCATCGAAGTATTTCGAGGTAGTGAAACGAGCCTTTTTCTAGAACAAGGCATTTCAGGTTGATATACAGCCTTCTACACCTCAGGAACGTCCAGAAATTTTGAAATTTTCAGTGATTATGGGATACGTCTTCCATTAGACTCTTTCGGACTTTCGCGAGCGCTATGAAGATGAAAGATGCTGTGCTGACGTAGCCGAACAAGATTTCAAAAAGAGGGCACTCCCATAGGCCCCTGTGGCTTATTTAGGCTCGCAGTGCTCCAAACGGTCGTCGGGAACCTTCGCAACCTCAGAGATCGAAGACCACAGAAAAGGATGTCTCGAAGGCCATTTCGTAGTGCCTAGAAATATTACACAGCCTCCAAGACCAAGTCTACGTTCGTGCTCGTCTCTGAGGCCATACTTTATTTTTTTACGCGTCGTTTGCATGCATCGATGAGCTTTGTGTAAGCTGCACCCCTATATGGTCAAGCACACGATGCCAATGTATGTC